GCACCAAACAAAGTCCAACTTACCCATCTAACTGTTTCGTTTAAAGTCCAGTGCAGTTTATTTGTGAAAAAAGTTTGAAAATAGACCATTTAATGACAGTGTGCCTTATAATCCAGAGCGCCTAATAGCCCGGAAAATACGGTACTTGAAAACTCTGGTATACTGAAAAAGTAGCAAAAGTAAGCAAGATTTACCAAAAATTGTTGATGAGAGTGTCTGATAAAACAAATCATATAAAACAACAATGGGAAGCGGAAATGATTGTGACTTTGGATGATGATACCTCGGAGAGTGTTTGTTCTGGATGTCATAGAGGGTTAGGAAATCAAATTTCGAAGGAGTTTGACGGGAATGTCAAATTAAAGGGATAGTTCGGATTTTTTGACATAAATCTGTATGGCATCCCCGTCATCAGTGTTGTGCATCCACACCGACTTACAACCGAAAGCGTCCAGTGAGCCGAGATACTGGCCCGTTTTGGTGCTGAGGATAGTAGTTCGGCAAGTTGTGTGGGGACTGTTTACTAAAGCGTTTTTCTTCTCAAAGCAATATGTGTTCAAAAGAGTGATACATTTGCATCACAAAACCATCGTCGCCAAAAAAGTCAGATCTCATAATCGCTTGGCGCTTTTTTCTCTCCGTACGTACCACTGTGCGCAGCCGCCAGGTGACAGCCGCGCACGGATCCATCACTTTCTTCAGTTGTTCGGTAGTGTTTACATGCGCAGACCGCCGCCACGCGAGAGAGCTAACGAGAGAGCTAGAGCCATAAGTATATGAGCTTGTATAAGATACATATGAATATATCTAAAAAATGGTGCGAACTCTTGATTATCCAGGCTGTAACAACAAAAATCTGGCTGAATCTCCAAGCACATTTCACTGTTTTCCTGTCACGGACTTTGCGCTGAGGAAACTTTGGCTTCTTGCCTTTGGCTTCAATGTGGAAACCAAACCAGGTAAGAACGAAGAAGTGCCGCTGTGTTTACAAGAGAACAGGCTCAAGAATCAGCTGTAACGCTGTGTGCAGTAAATCACTCAGTGTCATATCACCAGTGAAGCTTCTACAAAACGTAACTTTATAAGTCGACTGTTATTACTATTGTAAATGTCGCGTACACTATTGGCAGCAGCTACGTGGACGTGTGGATGATTCTGTTTCTATTAGTCGTCCATGCTTCAGTCACAGTGGAGGCTCTATGTTCGCTGTATACGAGTTTATAAATGACGTGATGGTGATTGTGGTTCACTCGGTCTCTCACGGCTCCAGCTTCAACTTGTACCACTTCTCTGTCTTTTCTCTCTCTCTCTGCTCGTTCTAACTCCATCTGGTGAAATTCGGCATCAGTATATTCGGGTTCATAAAGATCTCCCCTTGGGTTTGTGGTAAAGGCAAAGTCTTTATTGTCGGTGTCATAATCAGACATGTTGTCGCTAACATTCCGAGCAGTAAACAAAGTGAACCAGGCTCATATACTTATGGCTCTAGCTCTCTCGTTAGCTCTCTCGCGTGGCGGCGGTCTGCGCATGTAAACACTGCCGAACAACTGAAGAAAGTGATGGATCCGTGCGTACGGAGAGAAAATGGCGCCAAGCGATTATGAGGGCTGACTTTTTTGGCGACGATGGTTTTGTGATGCAAATGTATCACTCTTTTGAACACATATTGCTTTGAGAAGGAAAACGCTTTAGTAAACAGTCCCCACACAACTTGCCGAACTACTTTCCTCAGCACCAAAACGGGCCAGTATCTCGGCTCACCGGACGCTTTCGGGGGGTAAGTCGGTGTGGATGCACAACACTGATGACGGGGATGCCATACAGATTTATGTCAAAAAATCCGAACTATCCCTTTAAGATTCTTTAGAACCCCACTGAAAACTTTTATTTCGAAATGTAGTCTTAGTGACACATGTTGGAGGAATTGTGGACTTGTGGGCGACCAGACTCACATATTTTGGAACTGACCCAGTATAAAACCAGGGTGGCCGCAGGGTTTTAAAGGTCTTAAAAAGGTCTTAATGAAGGCCTTAAAAAGTCTTAAACTATGTTGTCCAAGTCTTATTTTTTTCACAAAGGTCTTAAATTTTATTAGCCTATTTTTTTTGTACCGGGCTGCAGTGCAATGTTAAACGGAGGGAGGGAAAAAAAACAACGTGAACTCATGTAACGTGAATAAACATCTAATTTGGAGTATGTGCAAAAAATACTGACACTGGCGGCAATGAGTAAACGATCAGTAGAGTGGAGGAAGACGTGGGATGGATCATGGGGAAGTGTCGGTTTAATCCACAGTGGCTCTTAGATTGTAGATATAGAACCGGTAGTTGGTTGGTCATTATTAGAATTGAATCTGGTGTTTTTCGCCCACATAATGGGTGCGATGTTGGTCTTAATTTTCATTTAAGTGGTCTAAAAAAGGTCTTTAAAAAGTCTTAAATTTGGGGTAGTCAAACCTGGGGCTACCCTGAAACGTTTCTGGATTGATGTTAAAGATGTTCTACAAAATATATTGGCTGTGAACCTGTTGATGGTCCAAAGATCTTTTTGCTTGATACATTTCCTGATGGTCTCTCATAATCGGAGCTTTCTGCTGCATCTTCTTCTGATGACTGCGAGGAAAATGATCACTATCTACTGGCTGAAACCTGAAACACCGACCATTGATCAGTGGATATCAAAAATCAGACAAGTTTATTCCATGGAACTGTTAACGGCTCAACTACAGCTCAAGGTGACAACTTTTGAAAAGAAATGTTGCCCAATTATTGACTTTTTCAAATAAGACACGTATGCCTTAACATGCCTTATCTTTATTTATTTTTTAAAATACATTTTTACCTTTTTTTTCCTCTTTTCTTCTTTTAGAGGGGGGGAAGAGGGGGGAAAAAAGTAAATATATAAATTTTGTGAAGGCCCGGTCTCAGGACACTTGATGTGAATTGATTTGTGGCAATAAAAGTAAAAAAAAATAATAATAAAAGGCATTCTGACTGTGGTTTCTGAAGGTTTAATGCCATACTGTGAAACATTCCAGACAAAGCATTTGGTGGACCCTCTACCAGAAAAGTTACACAATGCACATTTAAAGTCGTATTTACCTTGAAGACAATGTACTATATCTTTGTTTATTCATTTGGCTGCATCCACTATTTAAAAAAAAACAACACACAACAATTTTGTTAAAGACACAATGTGTAACTTCTCCATGGAGTTAGATTATGCCATACTGTGGAATATTATAGCCAAAAGGAGCAACATCTCCATGGAAACAAGCAGGAAGACTTGTTTCAGTGCAATAAATCTGAGCTTTTTGTTGTTTGTTTTCTGATTTGTTTTTTTAACCACAAACTGGCAAATAAACTAAACTAACCTAACCTCCCCTCAAACAAAACATGCTTTTATTTAGTCTATTTTTGGGGTAAATGTTACAAACTGTGGCTTTTGTATTTAGTCTAGATGAACTTGATTGATCCACAAGGGAAAATTATTTGCACATTCTCTGGATTTATGGTTATATGGGTCTGTTGGACTGAGCTGAGTGTACTTTTATGTCACATATTATGTTTTAATTAGTTCCGCTCACGAAATGAAATGATTCACCTGCTTGTCACATTTTATTACTTTGCTTAGAGTTTTTCACATTATAACATTATACTGACCTTTTAAATGGTCAAGTTACAGATCAGATCATCAGTAATGGATAGATTTAGTTTTTGTTTCATTTGTTTCCATGGAGATGTTATTGCTTTGTCTGGAATGTTTCACAGTATGGCATTAAACCTTTCTGTCTTCATGGAGACCAAACCAGACCAAGTTCCAGGTCAGATCTGCGGAGAGGCGATCCCGCTCACAGTCAGAATGCCTGTTTTTCTAGGTATTTTTGAGCTATAAAACCACCTGTAACTGAATAAATGTAAAGTAGAGCTGTTTAATGTCACACTGTGGAACATTGCAGACAGAGCAATGGTGTATCGATAGAATGCACCTTTTAAGTTGAAAAGAAAATGGTTATCTCTACTTTACTTTAACTTTACTACATTTGAGAGCCAGTATCTATACTTTCTACTCCACAATTTTTAAACAGGACTGAAAAGTAAAAGTATTTTTTATAATTATTTGAGACCTGCTGAAAAGGATGAGGGGTTATTTTTATATAGTTCATATTCTGAGCAAACAAAAGCATACGAAGAAAAACGGCTTGAAAAAATCAATCAGTTGAACAAAATTCACCCCAAATCTTTATTAGTATCACTACATTTAAAGCCTTCTGAGTAGTGTTGTGGTACTCGAGACCAGTCTTGGCCTCGAGACTGTTTTTTTTTTTTTTTTTTTGTGGTCCTGGTCTCATCTCGGACTTAACCGCATTTGGACTCAGTCTTGCCACAGTCTCGAAGGCACTTGGACTCAATTTGGACTCAGTCTTGTCTCGGTCTTGAAAGTGCTTGGACTCGGTCTTGTCTCGGTCTTGAAAGTGCTTGGACTCGGTCTTGTCTCGGTCTTGAAGGTGCTTGCACTCGGTCTTGTCTTGGTTTCGAGGTCTGACACTCGACGAGTAATAAAATGGAGATAGATTTATAAAAACATTGATATATATGTGCCAAAATAACTATAAAATACAAATAAATGTCAAAAATTACAATGATGTCTTGATTTGGTCTCGATGGGCCGTGGTCTTGATCTTGTCTTGGTCTCGACCCTCAGAGGTTTTGGTTTTGTCTCAGCCTTTGGAGCCTGTGGTCTCAGACAGGTCTTGGTCTCTGTTAGTGTGGTCTTGACTACAATACTACTTCTGAGGTCTCAAAATGCACGAAATACATATACTTTTTACTCTGAGTACATTTTTAAATGTGTCAAATGAAATAAAGTTTTGTATGGCACTCGTACATAACAGAGAAAAGAGTTAGGAGTAGTAACAGCCTGAGTGTGCTCTTCTTTCTTCATGCATGTGTGAATAGTCAGTCTGTTGTGTTGACTCTGGTCCATTCTCTCTTTGACAGATCTCTCCCCAAACCTCCAGGAGCAGAGCCATGAGAGACCGTCACCATGGAAGTCCTCCTTCAACTAATGTATTCACAAGAACTCAATCGACAAGATGAACAAGAGGAGATTTGTGAAAAGTAAGTGATTTGATGTTTAACAAAAGAAACCTAATGCTGTAAGATGTATGATGGTTAGGGACGCAAAGAGACAAGACAAAACAAGAAACTGGATCCACGAGAACGAGACCAGACAAGATTTATATGACATTTACATTAAACAAATTGTGCGGATGATTTCACAGTTTGGCATCACTTTTTCAAACGTATTTTACATTTATACCTGCTGTCATTCTGTCTCTGCTTTTGGGAACTGCAGCTTCTGAAACTTGGCAAAGAAAACAGTGATTGACCTATTGTGACCTAAATAATCACATGTATCGATTGGTCAAATAATGGTAAGATATCATGTACAGTTTATAGATGCCTCGTGAGGGTAATTCATCCTCTGCATTTGACCCATCCTTCAACTAGTGAGAAGCAGGGAGCACTTGCGGACCCGTCTCCAGATCTTGAGCTAGTCTGAGCTGGAGGATTTTACCTATACTTTACATGTTTTGGTTTGATGGGGGAAACCGGAGTGCCCAGAGGAAACACATCCAGACAGAGAGAACATGCAAATTCTGCACAGAAAGTCCTGGAACCTACTTGTTGTAACGTTCCATTACCAATGAACATATTAAAACATGTTGAAACTACCATCTAATTATGTCCTCTGTTACAGCTCCTACTGTTTCATGGTACAACTTAAAGGGCTCATATTCCGCTGTTGTCTGATCTATGTTATAATGTTGTTTCTTCATCACACACATACCTGGAGTTGTGCAAAACTTTAGGGGACAGGAGTTCTATTTGGATGTACAGAGATTGGGCAAAATTGTCCTTTTGGTGCTCATCAGTGTAGGGACCAGACTCAAATACACAGTTGAAAAATCTGAGGCACTCAAAAAGTACAAAATAATGACAAGCCTTTAATACTAGGGTTGTCCCGATCCGACCAGAACTGCGGACTCGATCCAGACTCGGACGTTATGAGCCAATCAGGTATCGGATAAATAATATACGTATATAACACACAGCACACAACAGTTTTTCTGAGGCGTGGGATTTGCTCAGGGACGTTCAGTTAGCGCGACTATCTGCCCCAGCTCCTGTTGTACTAGCGGAGCACTTAAGCTGGGACTTTTGGGCCGTGCCGTGCTCGGGCGCTGTTACCTGTGGTTCTGTGGCCCATGTTCACACCTGCACGGCCGAGAGCGTCGCCGCACATGCGCATGTTGTGCTGCGAAGCTGGCACTTTTGGCGGAGAGGGTCCGTCCAGCAGCGTGGAGTGTCTATTGAGTGTTGGGACCGATGTTGCGGTGTGCGCTCTGTGGTGGGTTTGTGGATGTGGCGGCGGTGCGGGGGAGTGGCGGCAGCTGGGCTAGTAGGGGCTTCTGTTATCTCGAAATCCAAATAATACAAGATCTTAACAAATAATGGTAAGATCTTGATTTTGAATTTGGATTTCATAGACGAGCCTAAATGTTTAAAATATAATGCGCATACTTCCATATAATATCAAATATACAATCTGTAGATTGTGTAGAGTTTAGTCTCAGGTCTGATCTGATTCTGGTCTGGTTCCTGTTTTGTCCAGTTCATTAAGTTTACTAAGTTACACATTTCAAGACCAGACTGTGGTAAAAGTCAAGATTTTCAACAATGATGATGAATGGTTAGAAAAGTTAATAAAATTAAAGTTTTGGACATTTTATTTTTCACACTAAGTTCAGCCCAAATACTACACATGAAATCAGTACAATCTGATTCCCCCCCATACATCCTTGACCTTATTCTTTGCTCTTAGTTTATTTAACAATGTTTTATGGAAGTATCGGTTCGGGACTCTGTATCGGCAAATACTCAAAATCAAAGAATTCAGACTTGGACTTGAAAATGTGATCGGGACATCCCTGTTTAATACCACATAGCAGATAAAGATAAAATCACCCAAAATCATCCAGACATCAGGACGTTCAGTAATTTGAATGCCCATGTGGTCGTTTTTGCATAGGCCGAACAAAATGCAAACTGAAAAACAGACAGGTTATAAAGACATGTAACCCCCTGTATCCTATGGCCACGCGTTACAAAGAAGCCAACCATGGCATCTGCAAAAGTCTAAAAATCTGTGGAATTGAACATATTAGAGAAACAGTAAGAGGAGGAGATAGACTGAAAAAACGCCTACAGAGAGAGTCCTACTGGATCTACACTCTGAAGACTACCCAGCCTCCAGGACTCAGTGGAGAGCTAGATTTCTCCCCCTTCTTTTAAAACCACAAGCAATCTTTTAAAAATGTGCAATCTAGTCCTATTTTTAACATCTTCTTCTCTATGAAACTGTAAGACCAGCCCTTCTACAAATTATACATGTTGAATCTGTAGCCCTTTTGTATTTTTTGCACTATATATATATATATATATATTTTTTTTTTATGTATTTTTCTATGTACTGGTTGTGTCTTGTATTATATCTTATCTTAAATAGCTTGTACCGTATTTTCCGGGCTATAGGGTGCGCTCTTAAGTAGGGCTGGGCGATATGGATCAAAAAATATATCTCGATATATTTTGCTATATCTCGATATACGATATATATCTCGATATATGTTCAAGAAAAAATAACCCCCTAAAACTGAAAACTGCAAAAACAAATCTGCCAAATTCCACAAGGTCCTTTTTTTTTAAATTGAAATGTAAGAGGTCAACAGTTCATATAGGAACATTTAAGATTACAAAAAACCCTAATTACATAAATAATAATTTAACTGTAAAATAAAAGAAATAATACATATTTTCTTCTTTTCGTTCATAAATAAAACAACTCAACACAAGCTCATCTTTGCATTAACTCTGTTATCCAGACCATAATCATAACCATGAGCTCCTTTAGCAGAAGAAGCTCAGGATGTTCCTTATTTCAATAGATCCATGTTATTATCCAGCAGTGAGGAGCTGAGGTTTAATCCCACAATCCACTGCAGATCAAACCCAACGTTTCCAAACACTATTGTACAAGTGACACTGCAGCAGATTATTAATTAAAATATTCTGCACAAATAAACTTTACAATATATAAAGCATAACGAGTCTAGAGCCACATCAGCCTGTTTGCGATAATAATGTGTTTAATGCAGTTTTGCGCACGTGTGTTTACATTTTACAGAAACGAAACATAAGCGCATGACTCATTTGCATAAACAACGCACTTCTCACGCAGCTCAGCTCGTTTAGCTTCTTTCGGGCTAAAGGACGCGACTCGGTGGAATATGAGGATGTGCTGCTGATGTTCTTGTCCGTAAATGGTGGAAAAGGTTCGTGGTGCTTGAAGTTTTTCACTGGCACCAACTTTCGGCGTTCATGGCGACAGTGAGGAGTGAAGGAGACACGAGCGAACAAAATCTGGGAGGCGGGGACGCGCGGGCGACGACAGAGAAGACAAACAAGCGAAGCGGCGAAATCAGAACTGAATATAAGCATTATATCGATATATACGATATGTCAGAATTCATATCGAGTTTAAAAACTATCTCGATATATTTAAAATATCGATATATCGCCCACCCCTACTCTTAAGCCTCCAACCCTATCAAAAAACAACTCTGCGCCCCGCAATCCAGAGTTCTCTATACACGAATCCACTCGGGTGTCCCAGCACGACTTCAGTAAACTACAAAGCTGCACCACCTGCAGAACACGCAAACACACACGGAGCAAACAGTGACCGCGCACCGAAAAACGCCACACTCATCACGCAGATGAGGAACGGAACGGAGGAACGAACCAAAAAAGCGAGTGCAATTTTTTTCTATTTAATACCTGAAGTTGTGTTTTGTTTCATTCACACATGTTTAACACACAAGCACCCTGCATATTTAAGCTGAGTTCTTATTTTGCGGAGTCTATTTTGTGTAGTACATAGTAACTTTCCATCACAGTACTCACCAACACCGCAAAAAAGTTACATTTGAAAATAAAAGTTGAAAACATTCATGAAATATGTCGCTGTATTTTTGCTTTTCTGAATTCCCATGTTGAAGTTTTGGCTTTAACCTTTCGCTGACCTGTTTTTCCTCTTCACAGCTGCAAGGACTGGACACAACATCCGCTAGAAATCGCCTGATGCAAGAAACTCGAGAACTGACCGCTTGACAAAAACCCCAGCGCTGCCGTGGACTACAGGTGGAGCTGCAACGGATTATGGGAGCTGTAGTTTTTCGCACAAAGCTGTTTTCTTTCCTGCAGCCCAATGACTAACAGCGGTGCTTGCGGCGTTAGCTCGAGCTTACTCAAAGGCAGGCACTTCTACTGTCGAGAATGGGCACTGGAGAAGCTGCTGTGCTGCCTGGACGCTCGGGTAATGACTGGACACTCCCCCGGTGTACTTATAACAGGAAGCCCGGGAGCGGGGAAGACCGCACTATGCACAGAAACAATATGGCCGACGTCGAAAGCGGGGCTCGCGTCGGGGTTGGGGAGAAGGTGCCTAGCGTATCATTTTTGCCACCGAGAGGAGCAGAGCAGTACGATGGCGTGGAGGTTTGTGCTGGCGCTGGTGGAGCAGCTGAGGAACTCGGAGCTCATCGGACCTGGTTACGAGGACATGCTAAACGTGCCAGCTGTGTCGGCCATCTTGGATCCGCTGGCCTGCCGGAAAGACCCGGAAGATGCTTTTAAAAGGTGAGCGAAGTTTAACTGCCTGTAAATTTAATTACAGTGCCTATGACAAGTTAGACTACACATTTTGCAGAAACACAGTTAAGATCATTATATTTAAAGCCCCGTTTACATGTATACAGGTATTTTTAAAAAACAATTAACCAATTAAAAACATTTCTCTTCATTTGTACCCATCTTTTACACGCAAACGGCGAATTCTCCTTTGAAAAAGAATCTTTCTTAACTCTTTCCCCCTTGGACGCCTACTAGGAACAACCCATACTTATATTACTAGGGCTACTCATAGAGCATAGTTGCATAAAAGAAAACGGACTTCCACGAGTGATTATAAATGATTCTCACACTCATGAACTGTTCATCTGTCCATTTATGGATGTTTAAATGTGATTCAGTTCATTTATAGGTATATAACAACTCACCGAAAATGAGAGTTTACCTGGTCAGGTGCAAAATCGAAAACAAAAAACTACATTCAGCATCTGATATCTGCATATTCTGAGTCCTATATTAATAAAAAAAAAAAAAGTAATATATTTGTCAAAGTATTTAAACAGATTTCAAATCACTAGATTCAGTATAGGCAAGTGTTCACCTGTTTTTACCTGTTGTACACCTGTGTGGACTTAATTAGTTTTTTCCATTTAACCTTTTCTACTCATTTAGCTGATTCAACTCGTCGTCAAATCACGTCTTTAGTGATACCGTGGAGATGTCAAAACACGTCATTAAGGATACGAAGGGGGTTGTCAAATGTCGTCTTTGTGGGGGAAAGAGCTAAAACTGTAAAGTGAGATAAACAGAGTTTTAGGAGCTGTCGTGCAAAGTGCAACTGATGTTTGTCTTTTTCTATGAAGATGATCGTGGAAGCATTCAAAGTAGCTGTCACATTTCTTCTGGTGCAAATGTTTTTCATGTGTTTGTATTTGCACACATGCTGAGACAAATGAGGCTTGGAGGTCAGCGATTTTGCCACTTCTCTAACAGATCTGTGAAGAGGCGAGCCGGCTCAGTAATGCATGTTTTTCAAGGTATTTTTGAGTAATACTTAGAACTGTAATGAAATAAATGTTACAGGGTTGAATCTAATCCAGGTGTCGCCCAGAGGCTTGGTGTAATTATAATGGCACTCGATGGAGTATTTATGTGGGTTGATGACATAGCCTAACATTTTTGGAAAAACATTCGCACTTGTTTTCCCAATTTGGCCGTTTTCCAAGTAAAAATTTTAGTTCTTGGTTGGAAACCGTGACATCATACTAAGGAATGTCCTGTTAACTACCAAAACTCCTCTAATGTACACAGAAATGATTATCTGACAAATACAAATAAAGAAACACAAATTGCTTCTTGATTGGTGTAAAACTATAATTTATATTTACAATAGTTATAATCTCACCAAATTAAGTCAAAATTAGAGAATCGCCCACTTTAACCTGGTAACAAGATTGAAGACAAGGAGTTTTTTAAGTTATAATGAATGAAGTTGAATGATTTGGGATGTATTGAAAATGGTTACTACTACTACTACTATTATATATACTACTATTACTTTATGTTGTAACCTCAAGATTTAGGGGCAGAGTTGTCCAAAGAACCAAGAGGATCTGGTTGCAGATCTCCACCCACATGACCCTACTTTCTTCATTATTTGACATTATAAACAAAAATAGTTGTTGCATTAGGTCATTGGTTATTAAAGGTCATTAAAGGTGATAACACTCATTGCAAATCGTTTAAAGCAAGACTTCAAAGACATTTAGACACCAATAGATTCCATTTGCGTGGGAAAATTAGTCATTTACTGTAAAACATGTTGTCTTTGTCGCAATAAAAAAACCTGTGTGGTCAAGATTAGGCACAGGTCTGTAATGGTTAAGGTTAGGAAAAGGGTTTGGGTCTTCAGTGCAAAACAGTGTCACCTTTTGTGATGTTGTGTTGACAACAGCGAGCAGGAAACAGTGCACTTTTTTGGCACGGCTGCTGTTTACTTTATGGACCTGTGGATGGAGGTGAGTCACGTGAGGGTCCTCCTACTGCAGGTCTGTGGGTTGGGTCCTCTGGGTGGACGTCTGCAGCCATATCCCTCTCAAAAGAACTGGTACAGATACTAATTTAGACTAATACTAGTACTGAAACTAGATACTCATTTGATCAAGTATTGATACAGAATAAAAGTGCATAAATATGACTATGTTGAACATTTCCTGAATAGTTTTAGAATAGTCTTGATCTTTCTGGTGCAGGTTACTTGTTTCCGTGGAGATGGAGAGGTTATGACTTTACCTGGAAAACTGCGCTCTAAACAATTCAAAGTAATTATATACAAGATACACAGTACATTTTTAAATCTGTGACAAAATCAGAAAAAAATGTGTCATTGTCAGTGGAGAAACCAGGATTCTGGAGCTTGTATGGTGCAACGTAAAACAATGAATAATAAACTAAGGCATGTATACAAATAAGACCTTATACAGATGTAGATTCTGACTGAATATATGTAAATAAAGTATATTGTATGGACAGACAACAGTGCAAAACTAGCAATGCAAATGGATGAGTATACTGTGACTGTGTAATATTACTGTGACTGTGTACTGTTACTGTGATTGTGTACTGTTACTGTATAAATTGACAGTTTGTTTTTAATCATATTTGGAATATTGAAATCAGTATCAAGAAAGCCTTTTTTTTCAGAGCCCTGAAATACAAAATACCACGTTTTTGTATCATTGTCACAAAACAAAAATGTCAGCTTGAGTTGACATTTTGGAGGAAAACATCTTTGGATAATATAAAATGGTGCCACACTTGTAGTTCATCCAGGGATGCAGATGGTGACCGGAGTGTATAATTACTTAGTGTGTGATCTTAGCAGAATCTTCATGTTTCATTCTTGGGGATGTGGGTCTGGACAGGTGCACAAAACCAGGACATCCTAAATGAGCCTCCTGAGATCTCACACTGACACTGTTGAGTTTGCATTTTACATCAGAGCACAGGAAGCAAGGCATTTTGTTAGATTTAAACATTAAATGTCTCTTTGCTTTTGGGCTTGTCATGGAGACTTGCTTGTTATTCTACGAGTATATAGTACAAGAAGAATTGTAAAGTGTGATGTTTCTTCTATGATTAGACTCAAAGGAAGTGTATGTAGCCTGCGCTCTTACAATTTTAAAAGGAATCACAACTGAACATGAGTTGCCAGTGTCTTAATCTGCAGATAGAGAACATATATAAGTTTTTCTTATTCTCAGTCTGTGGACAAAGCTCCAGAGGCTGCAGTAGCACTGATTAAAGAGCGGGAATTACACTTTTATGGGCTATTAACTGATAGCAGTGTGCATCCTGCTAATGAAACTGCTGCACATCACATTAAGGTTTGTAAAATGGTAGTGTATTGTTTTGTATCTGCTTTTGTATATTTATAGAGAATGGTAGTTCAGTTTTCTTGCCCAGTTAGTGTAGTATTCCTTTTAATGAAACCAGTATAATCTGTGTTTGATTCTTGAATTGAAAACCTCATGTTCTGTAACTAAACACTTTGAAGCATTCTAACTTTTGACAAGGCGACCACTCGTTTGCAGATGATTTTCACGAAAGTATGAGCCATTTTGAGCTAGATTGTGATTTGAAAAGTTCTATTCGAGCTGTCAGAGTCTCACAGGGGAGACAGAGTAGGAATAGCGAAAGTGCTGAAATTCATCCCTGGTGGTGCTTGTGTGTGCACGTTTGAGCTCTGATCGTTCCACAGTTCAACACAAAGTGAAAATGTCAGGTAAGACTTACATTTACATTTGTCAGCAGGGAAAAAGAAATGTTTGTTCGTTGGATATTGGACACTAGAGAAATTCTAATCAATACTAAAACTAGTACCGAAACGAGAATACGAAACGAGAGTGAAAGATCGATGCTAAAGAGTCACATTCACAGAACATAAATGAACCTTTCCTGAAGCTTTACAATGATCTTGAGTTGTACCAGAACAAGTATAAGAGCACATAGACTAGTATATGCCCATGGACCACTATGGAACCTACCTGAACCACTGAGGGAATACATCAGGGGTCTCCAACCTTTTTCCTCCAGTGAGCTACCTTTACAAAACAAAAATGCCTGAGAGATACTAGTTTTAGTGGTCACAAGAAATGTAGTATATAAAAAAGCCACAGCAAGCCTTAGATGACGTTCAGTTAGATTAGGGTGACCAGTCGTCCCTATTTACCTGGGACTGTCCCAGTTTGGGCCCTGTGTCCCCTGTCCCAGCAGATTTATCCAAAACCAGTGATTTGTCCCAGTTTTATACAAGAAATGTCCCAGTTGTCCCTATTTTTGACCAATTTGACACCTGCCAACAGTAAAGAGAACCATAAATTATTGATTTGTTCAGATAAAATACAGAAAAGCTGCTTAAAAATGACCAGAACACAAAGAAAATATTAATGGGCTGAGTCCAGAAACATTTTCATTAATTACACACTTGTTTCACAGTTTTAATATTGTCAACCACCAGTTTTTGATTTTGAAAATGTGGTCACCCTATGTTAGATGCCTATAAAACATAAACCTTTATCCATTTATTAGAGTACAAAGTTAGACATCAAAATGACACATGTACAATGGTCAAATTAATCAGGTTTTACTTATTCAGCACAATAAGTATAATTCAGAAATCCCTTGGCGAGCTACGAGGAAGGTGGTGAAGAGCTACCGGTGTGGTATAGGATTTTGACCCCGGGGTCAACATACCATATAGTATGTTGACCCCCCCTATAGAATATTGACCCCCCCATGAAAATCTATATTTTATTAATACAGAACTTGAATTCTATAAAAAAAACTTTGAATATTAATCTGATATCTGCAAATTAAAACATATTGACATCTTTAAAAGTGTTTTTTGAAGAACTCAGATGCATTTTTTATGTCGATTATAACTTTTGAATGTTAAAAATTGATGTATAATGATTTGGAATCTTGTTAAAATAGACAGGTGATCAATT